TGTTATGCAAAAATTAAGATTTTACCACAGCGAGTTTCTTTTTCAGTAACTGAGGAACAATAGAGATCTCAACTCTATGGTGTCATCGGTTTCCCCACTTGTTGGCTTCCCTCGCAGCGCCAAATGTACCCTTCCCACCCACAGTGGACAGAAGTCAGTGACACTACTATGTGGGGAAGAGAGACAAGAGGAGGGGGCTGCTTGGGTAATGCTGGGAGGCTCTAATAAAATGTAATCCTATTATATGGTTCCCACTAGAGGGCAACAATAATAAAGGTTTCCCTAATAACATGAGCAGACCAAACCCAAATGGAAAACAGCTCCTCCGGTCAAGTCCCACACTTGTACATATATCCTCTCATTAACCCAATTGCTGTTGGGCCACATTACAACGACAGGCCTTCGAGATTTAGCCATGATGGGGAGGCAAGAGTTAAGTCAAACAAATGTGTTTCATCAAACTGCAGTTTGGGCTGCTCTGCATAAAGGAATTGAAGGGGGAGGACGGGGAGGAGTGAGGGAATGTGTGCGGGTGGGAAGTTGGAAGCAGAGCCCCGAGGAAACCAATCAGAACTTCTCCACCCTCCCTTCCTGTGTCAAAGCCATTGGGGTCTCAGGTGTGTGTTACATGAGCTAATACCTCCCAAACTTGATTGTTTGTGTTAGAGTAATCAGAGTTTTCTAAATTACCATTTTGGAAATGATAGTCCTATCATTGGTAAACAAAATCACAATATAGTTGTAGTGGAACAACACAAACTAGAAATCACATGATAAGAGTTGATAGCCTAGCAACCCCCCCCCCCCCCCCCCCCCCAAATAATTATGGAGTTTAATTCTTCCTCATGGGCCAAATAAAATTAAAGCTTTCCAAGTGGTAAAGTTACCAAAAAAAGCTGGGCTGTCATCAGATTAGCCGCTTTACAAACAAACTCTTTTGCACAGAAACATTTTTTGCTTGACTTTCTTTGACTAATATTAGGAAGAAATGACAATCTCCCTGCTAGAAAGGGACATAAACACAAACTCTCATATTTGTGTGATATGATAATGTAATGAACGAGTTATTCCACTTCCTAGCCATCTCACATAAATGCAGCATAATATTTATCATAAGTGACAAGGTGAGTGAGAATATCAATCATATCCTCTAGACAGCTTGAGTTATTAAGTGAGCCAATGTAACAGTATTACAAAACCCAGAATAACAAAGTTATTTCTCTCTCTCTCGCTCCATTTCAGCATGTGTGTATGTACATGTACGTGGAGTTTAGTGTGTGTGCGCGTAGGTGTGTGTCTGTGTTTATGTTTCTGACAGCATCAGACAGAGAGAGTGTCGCATGCCTTCCTGTTCCTGTACCACCCTCCAACCCCAGAGCCGCAGACTCAAGGCAGTTTCCAGAATCAAACAATTTCACGCAGCTACTGGAGGAGGAAATGAACTGAGCCCAGAGCAATAATAAAATTATACAAATGTTATTACAGACTCGCCTGCTACTGTCCTACTTTAATTCAAATTTGGGCACTCCAGGCAGTGCTGGTGGCAGAGACCTTCCTGAATAAATCAACATTAGCTTACGTCTAAATTATTAAGGAAGTGGGAGACTTTCTTGTTTATAGTATGAATTATTAAACAAGTGTTTAACGCTGTTTTTCTTCACGAATCCCCAAATATTAATTGCTAATGATCTTTAAGGTGTATGTTTTATCTTTTGCCCTTTCTATTCTACGCTGGGAATGGGGAATCTGAGGTCGCAAGAAATTGGTCTGTTTTCAATTAGATAAGGACGGGGTGCACTTTGAAATATAATTTTCTGGCATCTATGTGATGTGCAAATGAATCTTTGGGTATAACAATATTCCCATCATATAGCCATTGTTGGTATTTGAATGTGAATGCAAATTAATGACTCATGGAAGCAGACGCGATGAGGGCTAGCCATGCGTTATCAGTTTTCTGTTCAACATCTTGCTGACAAGCCATTCAAGATGTTCACAAACAACAGCTGAAAAAAATGTTGGTGTATTATTTGCTATCACTTTTTATTAGCTTTTCCTAATTGAGGGGTCTGAGGCAAACTTTTGAAAGTTTGTCAACATAGAGTGGATATATTTGTTTGATATACTTTCGTGAGGCGTTGTAGTGCAATGATAAACACTGTTGTGTCACAATAAGAAGTTTCTGGGTTCAAACCCTCCAGCTGGCTGGCATCCTTTGTGTAGAGTCTGTATGGTGTCTCTGGGTACTCTGGCATAAAAACATGTATAGCTCGGGCATTTGATGAGAATGGCTTCCTGTCTGTTTGTGCTAGTGGTTTGCTCAGGATGTTGTTTGGTAATTTCCAACAGTCCCGCATTTATCTAAGAGTCAATGTCTGTGTATGGAAACAAAAGTCACATATACTTTCAGGTCACAAATATTCATCAGGAAAATGTCACCTGTCTTCTTCAATGTAAGTTGAAGATGAGTGGGGTCAATAAATCCAAACCAACCAACGATCAATTTCTCATCGTCTGTCTTGAGAGGAAACAGTCAGTGCATAAAACATCAGATTTACGTACTCATTTGTTTGTGCTATATAAATGAAAGGGTGCTGGACTCAAAATACTGAAGCCTTAAGGGACATAGCCCCATGCAAGCAGGTAAAGGATGGTGCTGTAAATGCTCAACTCCAGTACACAACAGTATCTGAAGAGTCACAGTTGGAGTTAATTTCGTAGCACATTCTATGCAGTTCAGTTATAGTAATAGTAGGACAACACAGCAGAAACAAGAAGGTACTAATATAGAAAAGCAAGTTATTACCACTTAATTACCAAATTAATATCGACTACTATCCAAGTAATGATGAATGATGCTATGCTGAAATCTATGTAATCAGGTAATAAAAAGCCAGAAACCACAGGTAACAATGTAGAAACAAATCAATTAGTGACAGTATAGTAATATATTAGTAACAATATAATAACCTGCTAGCAACATAAGGCAATATTATTGATGCTTTAAACATTAGTGTATTATTACCACATTATAATGCTGGTATATCCAATGCATTCTTTTTTTTTGACGATAACGATGAAAACATTATATTTAATCTTGCAGCTTTTTCCTTGGAAACATTTGTTGTAGTTTCTGTGTAATAAATAGGAGGCAAGGCTTCAAAATCAAACCTTTCCCCTTTCTGTCTAATTCCACATTAATAACCAGTTAAAGCAAAGTTCAAAAAGTTTGAGCTGGAATAGTATGGATATTTCTGTGCCTGATTTCTAGTTGTAAACACATAAACGACCACATATCTGCAGGTACTCATCAAATTTCTTAAAGTTTGCTTTAATGGGACACAAACATGGAATTAGTTGAAAATGGTCACTTGGGGTTTGCAGCCCTACTCTTGGCTATTACACAGAAACTGCTGCATGTGTTCTCAGGTAATAACCACAACATGAAGCATCATTTTTGCATTGCTAATTTTAAAAAAAGAAGAATGCAGAGGACATAAGGTAGTATTGAAAAGTCAGCATATACAAATTCTAATGCATACATATTACCATTTTATTATTATCAGGTTATTGTTTTGTTACCAGGATATTATTATACTATTACTAATTACATTCTAGTTATAACCAGTTGTACAAATTTGAGTATTTTCATATTACTCAGCTATAATGGGTGGTGAGAAAAAGAGTTACCTAGGCATTACCTTGGAAATTAAGTGGTAATAACTTGCTATTTCTACGTTATTACCTTTTTGTTTCCGCCTCATTACTTCTCTATATTTATTACTGATGGTAACACAAAAAGTGTTGCCATTCATTCTTAAATGCACACAATAAATAAATACTATAACTAAATCAATTTTTAAACTTGTAATACAACCCTTAAGAGAAAAAAAACATTATTAACTTACTGGGACTCTTGTTGTACTAATACGGGGGCTGCACGAGACCTAATACTGCTGTTTACTTTGCATTTGATGATCTAGATCGATTTAAATATAGAGTTGTGAAAAAGACGAACTGTCTGCCGACTATGGCAGCGTAACCTGTCCATTAAAAGCTCGTGGCTGCCCTCCCCTGGAGAAATGCAAAAGGGAACCCTTCTCACACCACGGCCAGTAGATGATGCTGTTGTCCCATATAAAGGTTGTGCTGAACCAGTGACTTTGGTATGATCCTATCAATATGGGAGTAATAACACTTTTGAGTCAGTATCTGACTCATACTTGTATTTTCACTTTGCAAATGCAATCTAGTTGCACCATGTAGACAAATTCAGTGGATGCAACAGAATCAGTGGGGCTGATCATTTCCTCCATGTTGTAGAAAAAGATGAGATAGCACCTATTTTTTGTGTTGTGTGTGTGTGTTTTTTTTTTCAGTTAAGAAAAAAAAATCCTATAATAGATCACCTCTATTTCCTATCAGAAGCGTTATCATTTCCTGTGCTTTGTTGATGAAATGAGATTACTTGGAGATATTCTCAGCGACTTAACTCACAAGGAACACACATCCTAGACAGTTATTGGGCCACAGGGAGACATTATCCATGTGTAGATGAGCCAGTACATCAGTGATCTGGACTTATCTTTTCCCCGGAGTCTACCACCTACCATAAGAAAGCAATGAGCCAAGAGGAATGGATAACAAAAAAACAACAACATATAGGTATCATTACTAGTTTTCTTATGGAGGCTGAAATATTAAGAAAGATGAATTATTAATGATAACTGAGTAGTAGAAGGTTTATTATTGCAACTTCACAGTTTTACATGTTCCAGATTGCGAGCACAATAACTGAATAATACTTGAACATAAACATAGATTAGCCAATTATCCTATAAAAAAGAGAAGATATGATATACAGCCAAGCAAACACTTACAAGAATATAGATCTATAAAACAAAAAAACAAGAAAAATATTTTATAAATATGACATTTTTACGAAATGGAAAATGATAAAAATAAACAGCAAAAAGTGGAGTTTGATTTTTATTTAACAAAAAACAAACAAAAGACATTGTGTTTCAAACAAAATGAGCTGTGTTTATTTTTCTCCAACTTAATGCTCTGACTCTGATAATAATGCTTGTCAGAGCTGTCTTACTTTGCTTGGGATCTGTAATGTGATTAATGATTACAAGGAAAGCCTCTACTTTTAATTACATATAAAGCAAGAGGACCAAATGTGACACTAATCCAAAAATAACAAGGCTGCATTTTCTTCTTCTCACCTCCAATTCACTGCGATGACCTCACATAATTGGTTGACCCTACCAACATTTCCTTAACTTCATGTACTGTGGGCTGTACAATGTATGCCACATGCCAACACTGTTCCTAAATCATTTATACAGGGTGCAGATGTTGAGCCATAGCATCACGCAAGCTTTATGACAATAAAAGCAGTGCAGTTCGGGTGTGTCACAGACAGAATTTTTTTTTTCTGTTTTAAAGACACAGTCTTTAGATGGGGAGGGGGTTGTGTGTGTGTGTGTGTGTGTGTGTGTGGTGTTTGGTGGTGGTGGTGGTGGGGGGGGCAGTCTTAAGTTGGATAACCCCAAAGTTTGATTGTGATTGTGCTCTACAAATTAGTCTCCATTTCCAGTGCACGTGATAGTCATACTTCTCCTGTTAACATAACATCAGCTTTCTCCACGTTGATGTTATGGATGGAGCCGGGCTTGACGGCAATGTCCCCTGCCTCCACTTCCCTGTATTTCCCCGTTGGGTCCTTCTTGAAGACTTGTTTCATCCTCTTCTTTATCTCAGGGTCGGGGCAGTACAGGTACTCATACAAACCAGCAGCCAAGATACCTCCGATAATAGGTCCCACCCAGTAGACCTAACACAAGCAGCAAGACATACACCTTAATTAGTCAATTGGTTAATCGGTGCCTTGTTAGAGGTAGGTACGTTTTGTGTCTGCAGGCTGAAGTGACTTCTGAATATGACGGCAGACACAGTGAGAACGAGTTACACTTGGTGTCATTCACATCATGGAACACCCAATTTTTATGTCGCCAGGCAAATTATTTTAATTAGCAAATAATTACACATTAATAAACTGTGACTTGACGCCTTGAAGGCTATGATGAGTTAAATAAATGGTCTGGCAAGGGTTCACTCAACTCATTCAATTAGGATTAGCACTTCATTGATCTCAGTTCAGCATTTCTAAAACTCACAACTAACTAGTCACCCTCAGTTGAAGCATTTTTTTTTCATTGAACCAACTTAAAGAGACACTTCGCACCTAAAAAGGATGTTTATACTGTATATTTAACATTTATAACATTCCACACAGAAAGACTGACTTTTCTCTGCTATAACAGGGAAGAAATGCTGAATTAAATTTCGCCTGCACAAACTCCTTAAAGTAAGAATAACATCATACAGAAGGATCTCTCACCCAATGGTTCTCGAAGTTAAGTGTGACCATTGCAGGACCAAAAGAACGGGCAGGGTTCATGCTGGCTCCTGTGTATGGGATCTGCAATATGGATAATAATACTGATTTTAGTCTAAAAGGACTGTACATCATAAATTTGCATATTATCAATATGTGTGTGTGTGTGTGTGTGTGTGTGTGTGTGTGTGTGTGTGTGTGTGTGTGTGTGTGTGTGTGTGTGTGTGTATGTATGTAAACAGCCCAAATGAGAAATCAGTTGTGCGTTGTGAGAGATGATATCTGTTTCCCTGTGCATTCATTTTCTCTGCAGGTTTCAGGAAGCCCCCAGAGATTGGTTGCCATGCGATGGCGTGTGGGTGTGAACACTGACAAGTGTGAGTATCACACATTCACGAATAGATGCTTGATCCACCTGCTCTTTTTCCACTGAAAAAGCTTGCACTTGGAAAAGAACTTGCACTGAAATTCTTTAATTTGGGAATGTAATGTGAGCTTCAGGTTAATCTTTAAATCTGTTTCACTGCTAGTTGTAGGAGTACTAGATGAGTCAGCTGATATGTAGATGTGGTTGCAGAAAATTTCTAAGGCTCTGATGTAGTTAAATTTTTTTTATATAAGTGATCTGAATATACCATTTCTGTGAATGTGACATTGTTTCTATCTATATGTATTTATTTAACTTGCTGAAAGCTACTTACTGCAAATAAGTGCCCTATCACTACAGCAATACCAATAGCCAGGCTTGCAGAACCACCTAAGTCTGTGCGTTTGGGATCACAGGTGGCGAAGACGGTAAAAACCAGTTCAAATGTGATCAGGAGCTCCACGAGAAAGCCGTGTCCCACGGATATGGTGGGATTCACCTAGGATTCAGAATCAGAATACCTTATTAGGAAACAATGCGGTTGGGAAACAAATGATGAAAAGAAACAATAGGAACAATAGTAAAAACCTATTTTACATTTATCATAACCATAATAACAACCAAGTTCTTACTGTGGTCACACCAAAGGACCCTCTGGCAGCAGTAGGTGTGACTAAGTAGAGAATCCCAGCTCCTGTAATAGCTCCCAGGCACTGAGCTGCCACATAGAACACAGCCTTTGCCAGGCTCAGTTTTCTAGTTACAACCATAGCTGCAGTGACTGCAGGGTTAATGTGTCCACCACTGATGTGGCCAAAGCACTGCACCATAGTGGCAATAGTAAGGCCAAAGCACAGGGAGATAAGGACTAGGTCAGCTGGCGGAGGCTTCTCCTCCCCTGCAGCCCAGTTGATGGTGGAGCCCAGGCCAAGAAGGACAAAGATGAGTGTGGCTAGGTATTCTCCAGACACAGCCCTCCAGAAGTCCTTGGTCCAGATCCCTTTAAATGCCACCATTATGTTCTGACAGTTACACCAGGACAGCAACCTCCTGGCAAAAAGAATAATGAGAAAAATGATTAGCCTACTTGTGGATTCCTAGTGTGTGCATGTGGCTGGAATTGTACTGAACCCTATCAGAGCAGCTGCCTTTGGGCAAAACATTTATAACTCCACTAGGGATTTAAGCAAGTGACTTTTCCATGACAAAATGCAATTGAGAGCATTCTTTAAACATTGTACATAAGGGCAAATTATCATTCTTAGAGTCAAAGCATACAACTTTTAATTGCTGCTACTCAGTGGACTTTAACCAGGATGAGGAAAGACTGTACATTGTTTGAGTATTAATGCTAAAAGGAATCTGTTTTGTACGAATTCAAATATCTGCAAAACAAAAATGTACGTTCAAAAAACAATATAAGACCTGCAAACCTGCAGGACAACAAACAATAACTTTGAAAAAAAAAATACAAACAAAAATCTAAAACTTACCGAAAGCAATAATGTATTCTCTCTCTCCTTGTCCCCATAACGTGAAATATATTTCATTCATGCGTCCTGATGATCTTTTCAACCAGCAGAGACACTTGACTCTTCATTTTATCTACTGTACAAGTTGTAATTGCTGTGACCTGCAGTACTTACAGAGGAGCAGCAGGTCGTGCGTGCGCAGGGTTGTTGGAGAAAGCAGGTCTGTCAGATGAGCATGATCCACTCATTGTGCCCTGGGATTGCATCCAGCAGCTTTATTAGGTTACTACCCGAGCATCCCCTCACAGGAATTAAACATCCTGCTCAGGAGGAGGAGTCAAGAGATTTGCCTGCTGAGCAAACAATATCTTTGATGCACACAGTGCAACTGCACATTTACTCATTCAGTGTCAAATCGCATTCATATTGGAGCTTTGAAAACTTGCAGGAGTAAGAAGAATATTTACAAATGATTATTTTTTAAGGTGCAAAGTCACCAGTTCAGAAAAGTTGTCAAATAAAAAATAATAAAATAAATCACTCACTCAACTTCATCTGTTAATGACCCAAAAGTGTTAGAAACAAAAAAAATCCTTTATATCTTTAAGTTTTTACTCCTTCTCTGCTGAATCTCCACTTATGTGCACACACACTAGGCGGAGTTTGCTCATGGGAACAGAAAAGGTTCCCGTCAAAAGTCACAACAACATCTACATTCTTGCACTTTACAGATGAAGTCAATAGGATAGGGAGTCTGTGCACGTGTGTGTTTATGTGTGTGTGTAATTGGAGTGACATATTTGTCACAAATGCAAAGAAACAAATATTATTTGACACTTCTGAGGTCTTTAACGTTCATTTGACAGCTGGGTCAAACTGACCCAAACAGTATCTATGCCATATAAACATGCAGGAGGGTTTGCAGGTTTTCATCTTTTACGGTGATTACACTTATTAATCCAAGCAAAGAAGTTTTACACTATTAAAACTATTTAACTATTCGGTTTAAATATGCCCCGGGTCAAATTTACCCAGGAACATCACTACTGTTACTGAGAGGCGAACACAACAGGAGGGTTAAATGTGTTCAGTAACAACCAGACAAGCAATATTTTAAACCCTTTTTACTGTTTTTCTGCCTTCTACATCTCTTCTTCACTCCTCCTCACTGTTATCTATCTCACTGTCCTCACTGTCAGAAATGATTTCCCTAACATGCATTTGATAATATGTCATAACATTCAAACCAACCTCAAACAAGTGTTAGAAAAACATCCATTACTGCAGAGTGTTGGTCTGAATCGGAGAAAAGTGAATTTCTAAATATGCTAAATTAAGTAAAACTGAAAAATCCTGACAGGAGGCTTCTCTGCTCCTTTACTACTCCTATTACTTTGTTATTACTATTATTATTATTACTCTTCTTTTGGCTTCTCTTCACTGGTTGTCAATAAATTTTAGGTTTCAATTTAAAATTTCAGTTTGAACTTTTAGGGCTCTACATGGTAAAGCTCCCCAATGTATCTCTGACCTGTTGAAACCTCATGCTTCTTCCCCAGCACTTAGGTCTTCAGGTCAGAGGTCGCTACTGGTCCCATGTGCTCAGTTCAAAACTCGTGGGGATCAGGTTATTCAGGCAGTGGCACCAAGGTTGTGGAATTCTCTTCCACTGTCTTTACGCTGTGCAGACTCCACTGACTCTTTCAAAAAGCAGCTGAAGACGTCTCTATACAGACCAGCTTTTAATTAATTTGTTGTTTTATATTATTAATTTATTTTTATTTCTGGTATGGCACTTTAAAGAAACGTTCCAAAGTAAATAATCTTACCTTCTTCTTACACTTTATGACCATGCGTGAGAAAAGGCAGTTGAGCCATTGGTGCTTTGGTTGGTTGCAATGATTTAAGGAAAAAAAGGACAAACAGCTTGAAAATCTTCAAGCTGCCTGAGCTGAACTATTGCAGGGGAGCGTTAAACACAGACATGCTGAGTAGGTCACTGTAGCAGAAATTCTGACTGTATGTCTGACTGTATGTCATTCAAATGTTAGCCTTCATATCAGACAGCATACCTAACAGTGGTTAAATATGAAGCTGTAATCGCTAAACATAAAAGCAGTACTTTACTGATGCAGTGTATTGACACAACTAAATCAAACATGTTGATTAACTTTCTCTGACAGACATTCTTACAGTAGTTCTGGATGTCATTCAAATGACAGGCTTATCAAGCAGAGAGCATACAAAACAGGGGAAACTATTAAACTGTATTCGTTGAACATAAAAGCAGCACTTTCCTCCTGTAGTTTATTGACACGCTTCCATCAAACATGTTGATTTAGTTTCTGTAACAGACATTCTTACAGGACGTTAGGTTGGCATTCAAATGACACGTTTATATAGTAGGCAGAACATGTGATAGAGGTCAAATATTAAGCTGTAATCATTCTTGCTGTGCAACTGCCCATTTATAGTCACTTTAGATGTCCACCCGTTTATCACAGCCCATTTAAAAAGTTGTAAACAATAAAACCCCTCAACAATAATAAGGTATGGTAATCCCAAAATAGCTTGTTATGAAAAGATTGCCATATTTAGATCATTCAAGGTATTACAATAATTTCAGTGTAATATCTAAATATTACACTGAAATTATTGTAATACCTTGAATGAAAACAAGGTATATCAGGTTAAAAAACTATTCAAGCAAAATGTTTTGGCTAAAGTGATTTTATACAAAAATACATCATACTAAATATAAACACATACCATACCTAAATAAATACCATACCATAAATACTGCTTAAATATCTACATTAAAATAAGACAAAATTACCCTGATTCTATCAACAGTTAAAAATGTTATGATCATAACATAACATGAAGCTGTGAAAAGGATCATATACATAATTTACAGTTTTACTTTTGGTTCATTATGCTTCATAAGTCTTAGAATTTGTTAGTTTGATTTTTGGAATTTAGTTTTTAGATTGCAGATTTGCTACTGTATCTACTTCCACCATAAAAAAAACATGTGTACAGATCTCACACGCAATATTTTTTCATGTGAACTCATTCAGTTAGTTGGGGTGACAAGAGCAAATTAACAAAACAGGAATAAAGAGTGCTTTGTTTTGTCCTTTTGAACATCACCTCATTGTTTAAACAAGGCAAGACCTTTGACAAGACCACTGTGCAAAAGGTTTTGGGGATTAACCCCATTAACACTGGCCTAGTTCGACAGTCTGTTGGTATACACACATCCAAGTTATCAGCTTAAGAAGATGTGCAACGACCATTAAAACCATAAATTGTATGTTTACTTGAAGTGAAAAAGTGATCCCCTTAGACTGATTGCTAGTTTTGGTCCCCTTGTTTTGCACTGACTTATCAGTTCTGTCACTAGTTAGTTAACATAAACTAATGTAAGTCAGTTAACTGCAACCACCCAACCAACCCCATGATGTGATGTTCTGTACTTTAACAAGATGGAAATAAACGTTTCAGAACTTTAATTTTATGTACTTATATCCTCAATCCAGCTTCAAAGCACTTTAGCACTTTGTTATAACATAACACTATTAAGCATTAGTAAGGCTGTATAAGGCAAGTGCTTAAGTCATCATTTTTATATCACTACTGCTCCTTAATATGACATTTACAAATACAGATATGTTTATCCAACTGTTACTGTTATGCCATTACAGCTATCACTGCAGTACATGGTGTGACTATGTACAGCTATCAGTGCTACTATATCACTGCTAGTAATAATCCTAATCATAGTCATAATCATAGGCATAATAATATATCTGTATTTATAAATGGCATATTAAGGTTGTCGAATTATATATGAATGGTAAATTAAGCACTTTTTAATACCTTATCAATTAATAGTGTGACATTATTATAAAGTACTACCCAATAATGTTAATATGCAAAAGCTTAAATATGTGTTCAAACTGTACTATGTTTTTAAAACTGTAATGCTGAACTACAGTACTTGCATGTTAAAATGCATTAGGTTACATTAGAATTACGTTATCTGCAGTTACATGACATATCGTATCCATTTTTTGTTCGTGTTAGTGTTCATGTTATCGAACATGAGAGTTATGCAGCAGTTTAAGAGTCACAGCACACGGGCTGAGAACCACTGGTCCAGATTACAATAAAGCTGAATGCTACTTGATGTCAGCGATGTAAAAGTTTAAGCTGAAACTGCTATTGATACAAATAATTGCTTGGAATATCTTTTAGCTGCCGTGATATGAGCTCATCTTCTGTCACATCATTTGGAGAGTGACCTGCTGCTGCCTCACTCTCCCTGGCTGTTTCTGAAATTAAGGGTTTCACGGTGTTAAGCTGTGTCATAGCTCATTATGATGAATACGGTGTCACATCTAAGATTGGATTGCTGTCTTTAACAACTGCTCATACTTAATCCATAGCTAATCCATTCTTAACACGTTATCTATGAAGGTTGTTAACAACTGACATCCCCCAGTTTACGTTCTCTTTCTCTTCTTTTGGTGTTTTTTTTTTTTTAAATATCTGAATTTGCTTTGTTGGTGAGAGACAATTTAATTGTTTACTTTGATTATTACTTAGAAATTAAAAAAAAATCATAAACTAAAACAAATATATGAATCCACGGTTGTTATAACCCCTCCTAGCATTAGGTTCTTAGCTAGTCTGTCCCACTTTACCCTCCAACTATGACCCCCAGCTAGATGCTGGTGGCATTGAGATGGAGTAGTGTGTGAGCCCTGAGTGCACATCTACAATGATTTACTTGTACTGCACATGTAACAATACAATTTTGTCAGACCAAACCTAATGATGCATTCAGTGACCATGTAAGTGACCTTGCTCTAGAAGGACTTTCCCCAAAAATTTTCAAGTGTTAATATAGTTCATGTGTTAGTATTTGTCTTAAAGATCCTTCACAGGCCAACACACCAATTCTGCTCCCTATCAACGAACAAAAAGGCCAACAACAAAGTAGAGGTGACTTTGACATACAGTAACTTGTGAGAATGCAACGAGAAAACACAATGCTTCTTTAACAAAGGAAAAGAAAGAAAAACATACACACTTTATCAAAATATATTACAGGATTTTGTTAACATAGTAAGAGTTTAAGATAAAATTCAGTTAAAAGTAACAACTGACAACCTCTCCTCTTCATCTCTCTTCCCATGTCTGTCTCTCTGGTGTTATCTGTGTTAATGTGTCACTAAGTTGCAAT